GCCCACTACTCTACCCACTACACCCTACACAGTTACTAAATCTATAGTGTGTAGGGGGTGGACTGGAATTCTTCTGTGTTTCTATCTTCCTCTTATTTCTGTTTTGATGTTGTATCTTGTTTCACTCAGTGTGCGTCATTGGGTGCATGCTCCCCAGAGAAACACTGACACGACACGTCTTGACCACGTGTGACTTTTTATTGCGTCGGTTCACTTTTCAAAAGAAGATACAGCCACACATCTATCAGCAGAGAAGACTACAAGTTAGTAAAAAGGAATTTTTTTTCTCCTTTCCAAAGATTAATCATGTATTCTTACAAACATACAGGCAATGCAACAGTCTTAAAATACACAGAACTATACAATACCAGCATATTGATGTACAAAACAGCCAGCAGCATATTTGAGCAAAACATTGTTATATGTGTGTTTAATAATTTGGCTGTTCATTAAAGGCTCAGTTTCTGCCACATGGGATTATGGGAGGTGAAGTGCCCCCAAATCCAACACTGTGAGATGTACATGTGTGGCATAGAGGCACAGATTGAGCATCAGCTCATTTTGCATGAATGGGTTAATGTCCACAAACGTGAAGCTTTATGCACTTATATCTGAACATGTTTAAAATAAAAGTCATTATATTATCGTCGTAGGTATATTACAGAGACGTGATGTTACGTGGAGGTGTTTGTGTGTACAGAGGGGTCACAAAGAAATGAAACCAATCATAAAAAACAAAAAAGGAAGTAAAACATCAAGTTTACGTAGCAATGAAACCACTTACAATAATTAACACTTACAGAAAAGGCACTGGAAGTCTCACAGTTGCATTGGTTTGAGTAAAAAAGAAGATTTTAATAAATCCAAGGCTTAAACACACTTTGTAATAGTGAGGAAATGGGTCTCCTTTACTCAGATAGATGCATGATCCTGCTGCTGGGCATTTTCTGTCTACAGTGGGCTTGTGGGATTAAATTATTAGTGTTGTCACAATGAGAATGTGTGTTTGCAGTGGACAGTGAAATAACTAAAAACAGCTGCACACTATGTACAATATTAGGCATGTGATAGGGCATTATGTACAGCTGGACTCCCCCCTCCCCTACAGTTGTTTCTCTCTGTATTTATAAGCATATCACAACTATTGTGTTTTCTTAAGGGGTATGTTCTCTGCTGTGCTCGGATAAAACCATGCAGAAAGATTTTTTTTCTCCACAGCCAGGTTAAGGATGCTTGTTTTCATTGATGAGCACGGTTTCTTTTATTGTCCCGCCTCCAACAATACTTTGTGCTGATGGTGCATGATCTTTATCGGCCGGACGCTTGTTTGTATAGCACGAAAAGAGAGGATTTGGTTTGAGGTCGCCGCTATAGTTCACTCTCTGATAGGGCAAAATAAGCTCTGCTCTCTTCCACGGGCTGTTGATATCACAGTACGCAGCGCTCTTAAAGGCAACACAACATAAGCAAATCTCAAAAAGAAGAAATGCGGACTGAAAAAGACATTCGACATGTGGTCTCTTTTTTTCTGTTTTTTCTTTTTCTTTTTTCTTTATTCCGGACTTACTCAGCTCTGGCTGCGCTACCTGGTATATAAACATGAAAAAGAGAGAAACGCTCCAATACTGATGCACATCTCTGTTTACTCAAAAGAATCCTGTGTACATGGATGCAATGGATGAGGTGTTGTGAGGATTAAAGGCCTTGCATAGAGCTGAAACCTCTGAATGTGCAAAAGAGGAATGCTCTTCTAAAACCTGAAAATGGACTTGTTCTGCTTCTTCACAAAGACCTTTGCAGGCTACACGTTAATGTGCCGACATTTAGTCAGGTGTATTTTCCACGCGAGAGCCTTCTCGCTGGCAAGGCTTGCAGCAACATGCTGCATTTGCAGTATGTGGTGCCTGAATGGGAATGAAAGTCGGTGCCTAACTATGGCGATAGAACTGAAATGCAGACACACAAGTATATTATAACCCCCCTTTTCCCCTATCTACTCAAACCCTGTGTAAAAAGGTCTATCCCTCTAGTATGTACTATTATAAGTCTTTCAATAGAAAAGATGTTTCTAAAAATTGAACAAGGATCGTCAAGTAAAAACATCCTCCCTCACATGTGTCCTTTCAATATATTTTTAAATATAAGAACACGCTTAATAAAAAAAAAACTCCTGTTTTTCTAATCTACTCTTTTTTTAATATTTCATAGTTATCACAAACATTTTTTTTGTTTTTTGTTTTTGTTGGGGTTTTTTGTAACTTGGTAATCCTAAAAGGTTTTAGTCCCTGTTGATTTTGTTTTTCATACATTTGGTTTCTGACCTGCCTGTTCAAGAGTGTGCATTGTCTTGAGATAGGTGTGTGTGCTCTCTTTCACATTGAACGTTTTAGTGTGTGCAGGTGTCTCACAGGTTCATACGGTGAGATCGTCTGACCTGGCCCTGCTGCTGGCTTTGCTCAGTCGGCTCAGCGGCCTGTTGTCTTCTATCGTTTCCGCAGCTTCCGTTCCTGCCTCTGCTGGAGTTGCCCCCTCCCCATTCACCGCCTCCTCTACCTCGATGTCCTCTTCTGCAGCCAGATCCACCCTCTCTGCTTCCGCCTCTGGCGGCTGTACCTCCTCAGCCTCTTCCTCGTGTAATGTCACCCCTCCTGTCTCAGTGGTCTGGGCGTAGGAGGGCAGAGTCTCGTCATACACCTTAGAGATGTCCTCCATGGGCAGCACTTCCTCCGCTTTCTCCTCCAACCCCTGGAAGGGTGGGGCCCCTCTGCCAGCCTCCATGCCCACCTCAGCCAGTGGGTAGAGGTGAGTCATGGGGGGAGCTTTCTCCTCCTCCAGCAGCCTGTAACCTTTTGCTCTCTGCAGAGAGGGAACAGCCAGGGGGGGCAGGCTCTTCCCTTGTGGCGGCAGGGGGGCCAACCCCTCGCCTTGGGAAGGCCCCGGAGCTGGGGCTGGCTTTCGAAAGACAAAGCGAATCTTCTTCAGGCCCAAGTGACTGATCTCCACAAAGTTTAGGAACAGTGAGACACAGGCCACAGCCAACATGAAGATGATAAAGACAGTCTTCTCCGTGGGGCGAGACACAAAGCAGTCCACCGTGTTGGGGCAGGGCCAGCGGCTGCATTTATACAACGGCAAGATGCGGAAGCCATACAGAAAGTACTGGCCCACCACAAAGCCCACTTCAAACAGTGTCTTGAAGATGATGTGGCAGATGTAGGTCCTCAACAGGGTGCCCTCCAGCCTGAACTTCTTGCTTCCTTTCGTACTGGTCTCCTTAGTGGTGCGGACGCTTCCCTGGTCAGGTGCCAGAGGAAGACGCTCCTCACTCAGCTCCTGTTGCCGGCTAAGTTCTGCCTCCTCCCGCTCTTTGCGTTTCTCCTCCATGTGGACATGGTGGACAGCGTGACCCACGTACACCAGAGACGGCGTGGACACAAAGATGATTTGCAGCACCCACAGGCGGATGTGGGAGATGGGGAAGGCCTCGTCGTAGCACACATTCTCACATCCAGGCTGCTGTGTGTTGCACACATAATCAGACTGCTCGTCGCCCCACACAAACTCTGCTGCTGTGCCCAGGATGAGGATGCGAAAGATGAAGAGCACCGTGAGCCACACCCGGCCGATCACCGTAGAGTGCTCGTTGACTTCCTCTAAAATATTACCCAGAAAGCTCCAGTCACCCATGATCGGTCCGTAGCACTGCAGAATGAAGGGTGGGGTAGGGAGGGACACGAAGGGTGCAGATGGACAGGGAGGGTGGGGTAGGCAGAGACCAACAGGGGGAGGGGAAAAGAGGGTGCCAAAAGTAAGCTATGCATGAGAGGAAAAAACTTGCAAACATTTAAAAATCAAACAAACGCCAGAATTTGATCGTGAATTTGATTTGTACGCACACATTCACAAATATACAGAAAGATGAAAGTAAACAACAAACAGCAATTTGCTGGTAATTTTAAATATGAAAATAACCTTTAAGCTAGGCATTGATTTAACTGTACTAATGGCTGCATATTCTCATCGTGAACTGGACTAACGAAAGTTAACAAATGTGAATACTACAAGCTTTTACTTTTGCTAAGCTATCAGACTATAACACACTGTATATCTAAATAAACCAATAAAAAAGATATCACTAAATAAAAATAAAGTCCCTTTTTCCTGAAATGTATAATAAATCGAATCAAATGGGCAACTTGCCACAGCTGCGGCTCCGGCGAAGTTGAGTCCTGTCCCGTTCTCTTGGCACCCAGCAGGGAAAAGTGAACTTTTTTCTGCCCTCTTTCCCACCTAAAGCCCTGTCCTTGTCGCCCCACTGAGCAGATGTGAATGAATCGGCTCTGATGGTTGGTTTTTAGTTTGCTGCAATATTTAAGCTTGGAGCCAGACGGCCTTTATTTGCCGGGCGACGTGTGGTGACGCAGGAGACAATAGGATCAACAAAACCAGAGCGGGGATGTATGGGAGCAGGCCTCAGGCTCCCACACCAACATGGCCACTGTACTGCCAGGGCACCGGGTCCACAGCGGAGCAGTCAGGCTACATACATGCGACTTCCTCGAACATGCATACTGTATACAGAAGCATAGATACAGTAGAGGATACAAGAGCAGCAGCATGTGCCTCCGGCTGTGCAGGCCAACATTAGAGCAGAGAGGCAGGTCAGTGACAAACTTTGAAGGAGAGCTTATGTCCTTGTGCGGTAACACTGAACACTGTTGTTTATACGATTATCTAAAGTGAGCATTAGGTCATTTCAACTATGTAAAGGGTTAATTAATGTATTTTCCCAAATTTGAGGAAACAGTGGCTTGCTCCTGTCCACTTTTATTTGTCTGACTGAATGAGTTTTACAACTATGTCTGGCATGTGGCTGTGCTTATTCTGCACATGGTTTACAAGTAACACGACATTTATATCCACACAACATTTACTATGGATGATTGGGAAAATCTGCTTCTGCACTTTTTTTCTTGGCTTTCCATCTCCAACATTTCAAAATTAAGATATTACTTAAAAAAAGGAAAACCTCTTTCACCAGTTACAGTCTTTTTCTTTTGTCTTTAATAAATTAGAATCTGCGTCTCTCAATAAATGAAAAAAAAAATAGTACTCGTCCTTATATGAAACAAAGACTTTTGTTAAATATAAGCATGTCTCTAATTCGTATTCTGTACATAAATCAGGACTATACATCTTGTTTGTTTGCACACTGTTATCTATATTATTTCTGGTTTAAAAATACCCTAAAGGCAATTTTATAAAAAAAAAATTATGTAAACACATTTAAAATTTTAACTTTTAGATGAACAAAATGTGAGTTTTTTAATGCTAGAAGAGACCTTTGTGTGTGTATGTATCTCATACGTGTGTCATTTATGTGTGAAAAATGTGAAGCACTGAATGATTGTACACGCTGTAATGTCTCTATTAGGGAACTAGTCAAACTCTGCCAGCTGAGAGAAGAAAAACATTCAGCTGCAAACTTTGATCTCAGAGTCATTCCACAGATGTTTGCACAGAGGAAAAGCTGCAGCGGTGCCCAGTGAGGTTGTTTTCCATTGTTTTGACAATTACACTATTAACAAATCACCATGAGTTTTATAAGGCTATTACATAAAACATAAAGATAGGCGAACTGGTATGTGATGCCTATTTAAAAATATAAATAAATAATTTTCTACCAAACCAAATAAGTCATATTTCCACTCCACAAAGCGTAAAAATACACGTTGAGATGTTAGACGATGCAGGTTAATTTCCAATTTGTCCAGTTTATCCTGATATGTGGAACATGTCAGTGATAAACATGACGAACTTCACCAGTTTGAACTGGTTCATTAGCAGTAACTGCTAAGATGGAAAAGAAAGGTACAGCAGGGAAGGGTTGAGCACTATTACTTCGTATAAAGAATCCCACTGTAGTCACCAAACCAATATTAAGTTCAATCTTTCATCCTCCACAGATGGGGGCTATTGTCAGAAAGGTGAAAAAATGGAGGACTTGTGACTGAGCAAGCAGACGGGCAAACCCAGAAACCAGCAACTGATAGTTATGTTATTTTGAGTAACCTCAAGAAAAGCAGAAAAGAAAGGAGAGTAAAAACCATTTCTGAAACCAACAGCACAGATTACCAGATAGAGTCACAAAGTGAAGGATGAGTGAGTGAGTGTGGGTACAAAGAGAGAGAGGGGTACTTTAGAAAGTTTATATGTCATGGAAAAAGTACCAGCCAGACTGCACCAAAGGTAATCTTTGAAGGGTTCTGTTTTTCTTACAAATTGTTAGGTGAAGCTGCATTTATCACTGAAATAAGGCAGTGGAATTCAGCTTAACTGTTTTTGTGCTGCCCTTTTTTGGTACTTTGGTATCTTTTTCGGGCAATTCATAGATTTTGGAGTGTGGCTTAATGTCCAAATAAACTTCATTCACTGGACACCCTGCAGGCTACAGTGCTAGCTGCACCTGGCTACTACTGGGTTGGATTTGCTTTTGCACTCAGAACGTTCTGAAATATTTGTATCTTTGACAAGATACTCAAAGGTTTTGGTCAATATGATAGCATGCCACAGTTGATGGAGATTTTTTGGCTGCACATGCATGATGGTAATCTACCATTCTACTTCATCCCAAAGGTGGCTCAAAATCTGATTACACTGGAGCCCATTTGAGTACAGTGCCAACTTCAAGTTTGGAATGATTTGAGCTTTGTGCCATCTTAGATGGCAGCATTCATCCAACATTTTTAGTCTCAGTTTCCTGTTCTTACTTGAAAGTGTTGGAACCCAGTGTGGTCTTCCACTGATGTAGACCATTTTGGTCAAGGTTCAACATGTTGTGCATTCAGATCAGAGTTCCCTAAATTGCTAAATTGCCTTTTTTTTTTTTTTTTTTTTTTTTTTGTCCCGTTTGGTTCTTTTGCCATCAGAATTGTTGTCTAAAGGCAAAGAAAGATGCCCGATGGATTTACTTTACCAAATGGACCATCCCAGCCTTGCCATATTGGTCTATTTGATTCACCTTTGCTTTTATTGTTTATTTTATTTTCATTTGCTGAACACGGGACAGACTTGACTGGGGAAAAGAAAAGGGAGAAAGAAAGAGGGAAAGTAAAAGAGTGGGGAAGAGGGTGATAAAGGGCAAAAACAAAAAACCAACAAAACAAACAGACAAAAAGTACATATATCAATCACCTGGATCACCTGTTGAGAAAGAAAAAAGAGAAAACAAGCAAAGAAAAAGAGAGCAATATAATAAACAACATCATAGCGATGATCTATGTGAATATAGGTAGCAGCCAAAAAGGGTGTAGTTTGTGTGTGTGAGCACCCGTGTGTACACCTGTGAGCTTGTATTTAAAAGGTTCCTTCATGTAATGATCTGCTAGAGGGTGTGGGGAGCTACAGCCCCGTCCTCCAGGGCATGACGCAGGTATGGAGGAGATAAAGGCTCCAGACATCCAGAGGCCCCAAGAGCAAAGGAGACCAAGGAAGACTAACAGAGGGGCAACCGCACCACTATCCCGGAAAGAGCTGAGGAGAGCCCCAGATCTTTCTGATCTTACATTGTAACAAGTTGCAATGTTTGAACACTCTGAAGATTTATTTTTATTTTTATTTTTTGTATTTGTTTTTATATGTGGCATCTCATCTTGTGATATTGAGCAACAGTTTTTTTTTCTTGAAAAATGCTTTATAAATAAATTGTACATGCTTACACTCAAAAGAATGATTCTATGCCCTCGTAAACGTGAAGCAATCATTTTGAGAGCTGAAAAAGATCAAATCAAAGGTTTAATTAATGCAAAAAATAATCATTTTAAAAATATGCTCTGTAATAAAAGAATGTATACTGGTCAAGTACATTTTGCTTGACCAGATACCATTAGATTTAACATTTTGCATTCCATTTTCATGTAATCAGATTACTTAAAGTAAAAATCTTTAGGATTATACTGAAGTTTACACTGGTAAAGGTTTGTCCTCTTAATTAATTAGTATAAAGATGTAACTTCAACCTTACTGCCTTTGTAGTATCTGTGTGTAAAGTCTTCATAATTACCATCATTAAAAACATTACCAGTAATGATTTAACATATGTTTGTTGCTACTTGTCTGTAAAATGGTGTTGTGTGAATAAATGGCTTTACTATGCCCCATGTTTCTGTATGAGCATACGAGTATAAGTATAAGCAATTAGGATGTTTTGCATTAGGATGTTTTTGTACTGAAATGCAGAACCTTACCAGCCCGACAGACTTGCCCTGTTCAATATCAACATTGAGATTTCTTTGTGCCAACATTTAATACTTTTATTATAAACCCCACTTGAACTTTGCAAGAGTTTATTTGAAGAAAGCTTTTGTTTGTTCTTAGTCTAAACTGTTGAAAACTCGCTCTCTTGGTAAAATATCGATGCCCCAACTTAAAGGAAAGAACAGAACAATTACAGGACAGTCACAGTCTGACAGTTACACAACTCACTTCCCTCTGCACAATCACACTTCCAAGTTCCACAAATGCCCTGTAGTCCCTGGCTTCAGTGAAAGATGTTTGAACAATGCTCTTGTTCTTAAAAGAGCTATATAGCTATTCTGCTTGTTCCTGAAGTCACACTGTTTAGCGTCTTTTGTCATGTTTGCATGGCTTAGTGACTTTTCCCATTTATTTATACATGAGTTTGCGAG